TGAGGGCTGAGCTTATGAATAAATGCATGCGGCAGGAGAAGTTGCAGGAAAGCATTGGATCACACGCTGGAGAAGGACTGGCCAGAAATAAGTCAAAGCTGGAATTTAGGGCCCTCCTAGCCTAGAGGTAGCACCGGAAAACAGCTAGAGGCAGACAAACCCTGCCTGTTTTTAAGCTAGAAAGTTATAAGAGGGGGCTGGAGGGCTCAGGGGGATGCAAGTGCCCCCGTCCGTCCACGGTGCAAGAGCCTCCACCCCAAGGCCAGGCAAGAGGGACAAATACCCCTGGGCTTCACCAGCGGCACTTCTTACGGAGCTGCAGCCGGCATAATAAAGACGCATTGCGCTGTACCAGGCGTCGAGCAGCCTCTGTTATCTCCGCGTCTGTGTTATCTCCGTGCTCCGCTGTCAAAGGGAAAAAGGGGACACTATGCATTCATCTGCTATCTGCAGTGCAATTTGCCCCTCCACCTCCGAAATAGCTGCTCCCGTGGCCCCAGGAGCATTTGGGTCGTGCTGCTGGCCCCAGGGACCCGACAGACCCGGCGCGGGAGCCCAGCCTACCCCGTCCACGGGGTCTCTGCAGGCTTGGAGCGAGCTGGTCCCTCCGCAGTGAGCGCCCGCGCCGGCCGCAGTCCGGCCCCAGCTCCCTCGCAGCTGCCCTGCCGGGAGCCAGCTCCGTTTTTTTCCTCCTCAGCAAATCAATGGAGTTGGCTTTTTTCCCCCCCCCCCCTAATTAATTCACTGCAATCTTACCGGATACATCTTTCTCCCTAATTCCCCCAGCCTTGCTTTGCACACCGGCCGACCCGGGTCGATATTCCCAGCTGGGAGCGCAGGGCCCTGGGCAGGTTCTTGCGGCACCCAGGCACAGCAGGCTTTTCCCAAATGACTCCTGCCTCTCCAACAGACCTCGCTCCGTTGTCCTCCCTCCCCCTTGTGCCAGCTACGGGTGATCAAACCGAGCGTCTTCAAACACCAAGCCCCTCCACCTTTGCCATCAGCTCCCGATGGCGGGGGGAGTCGCTGGATGCTGGAGCACTGGCTCCGCGGTCTCTTTTGCTCATGCGTTTCTCATATCGAGCACCCCAAGGATACAAGGATGGCTGGGCCACCACGGCCCTGATTTCAGCCAGGGCTACGTGAGGAAACTCAGGATGGGGTCCTGCATCAGGCAGCACGATGAGGGGAGCAGCAAATTCAGGCCCCCTCCGCTCTGGGGTCTGCCTCCTCATTTATCTCCCAAAAGGAAGGAAGCAAACAATTCTCCAGGTCCCCCAGGGCTTGAAATTGCAGCCCTGGGCCTCAGTTGCAGGAAGGGATGCAGAGGTTATGCATTAAATTTCTAGAAGGCAGGAAGGAGAGACAGCTCTGGGAGAGGGCTGAGTCTGCACCCAGGAGGTTGGTGAGCAGGGAGAAGATTGGTGTTTCCTGCCCTCCTACATCCAGAGAACCATCCATCCTTCCAAAATAGCCCTGTCCTGGTCCCATGGCAGTCCCATCCTGGTCGCATGATGGTTTCCATCCTGCGGTTGAACCCTGCAGACCCCATCCTCGCCCCATGCCAGTCCCCATCCTGTGTTTGCACCCTGAGGACCCCATCCCAGATGGTTTTCATGGTGCCCAGTGACAGGACAAGAGGCAATGGGCACAAACTGCAACACAGGAAGGTCCATCTGAACATGAGGAAAACCTTATATCCTCTGAGGGTGACTGGACCATGTTGCCCAGAGAGGTTGTGGAGTCTTCTTCCCTGGAGATATTCAAAAGCTGCCTGGACATGATCCTATGCAATGTGCTGTAGGTGCCCCTGGTTGAGCAGGGGGGTTGGACTAGACCTCCAGAGGTTCCTGCCAACCTCAGCCATTCTGTGATTCTGTGATCCTGGCCCCATGCTGGTCCCCATCCCATGTTTGCACCCTGCAGACCCCATCTTGGTTCCATGCTGGTCCCCATCCTGCATTTGCATCCCATGGACCCCGTCCCAGTCTCATCTTGGTCTCCATCCTGCCTTTGCACCACCCCATGGACTCCATCCCACTCCCGTCTTGGACTCCATCCCACGTTTGTGCCCCGTGGACCCCTCAGCCAGGCAGGGGGTGACTCAGTGCCCAGCTGCCCGTGCACAGGCTGCAGGAGAAAAGGAACTCTGGGAGGAGGATGTAAGATGTTGCCCTGACTTTTCCTTCCCCATCTTGCAACCATCCCCTTGGCAGCGTTTTCTGGGTGCAAACGTGGGCTTAGGCAGGCGCTGCTCTGGGAGGAGCTGGCAACCTCCCAAGCCTGGGGGCTGACGAGACCTCGCAGCCCCGATTCCCTGCCCGAGGCAGCCCCTGCAGAGCCAGGGCCACAGGGACGTCCACGCTCCCCAGGACTACCCTGCCACGGGCAGGGGGGCACCAACC